AAGCTTGAACATCTATAACCCAATTGCCTCTCCTGCACAGAAATTAAATACTGAATTTTCCAATCATAGACCGAATAATCCTCATGCTAAAGCATTCATTTCCACAACATATAAGTAAACAACCTACCGTTCACACCAATACTGTGCGATAACAATGAGAGAAACATCATAATACACCGTGTATAGCACTGAACTCGCGGGAAATACCCACACTGGATTGAAATGACCAAACACCCCTCCATCAGGCGATGATAATAGTCGGCCCACATACGTAGGGAAAAACATCATGCACCACATCTATAGCATCTCCATAAATCATCGATGCCTAATTGATTTCAAATGCTTGACATCACGTTTGAATGAGTAGGAAGGAACTGAAGACATAAGCTTCAACAAAATCAAATCGCATGACAAGGAATCAAGAAAGGGAATATCCTCTTGATTATGGCGTATCTCCGTTGATTTCTTCGTGAACAGGGCTTGTGGACGATTTGCCCTAAATCCGATTCCAACTAGGGTTTGAGATTTTGACCTCCTTTACTGATTTAGGTTTGCATGAGATGTATTCATTCCTTTATTGTGTTTGATCGACTGTTTTCCATGTTTGTTGACCTTAATCATTGTTATTCTCTCACTCTCACTTATTCTATACTATTCTGAAACTTAGGCTCTTGGCCAGCTGAAAGCCAAGGCCACCGGAATTCGATTGGTTGACCTTTTCTCAGTGCGAGCACTGCTCGGGGTTCATCTGAAACCCTTGGGAACTCTGACGCACTGAGTTCTTGGTGTATACTGCTCTCTTTGCCATTGAAGCACTACTGGGACTGTTCCTCTTGTTTTCTTGTTTGATTATTTGTGACTGGTAAGTCCTTTTGACCACAATAATTTTATTCTCCATCGTTGTATTATGTGTTCTATGTATTTATGTCCCTGAAACTTCTATGAAGCACAACTCTACTATGACACTTGCTTGTAACTTTGTCTGCTCTAAGGTTTTCTTGTGTCTTGATATTGAACCTGCCTAAACTCTAAGTGTGAGATTATTTATCAGATGTGCTCGGAGATATGATTCTTGATTCTTCTAAACTTGTTTGGGTCTGCTATTATGTTGATACTTGAGTCTAATCCTGAGTTTACCTCTCCGTCTTGTTATGGATTGTTGTGATAGCCTGGGAAGTATTCTTTTGTCCATTACAACCAATTCTCATGCAATTTATGTTTCCCTAATGTATTCATTTTATCAACTTTGTATTCTTCAATACTAGTTTAACCTTTAGCGTAAGATTTACAACTAGACTTTTCCCTATATTTGGTCAACTATTGATGGATTTGATGTTTGTTTGTCCCACTTCTGAAATTGAATTGTGACTAAACTCTAGCATGCTTCCCCTGTTAAGTATTTTCTTGACCATGAACTCTGGTATTGTTTTGAACCATCGTGATATGACCAATACCCATTGTATTAAGTCTCATGTTCAACTAAGTGATTGCTTGTCAACTATTGTAGACCATGTTACCAGCCTCTTTGTTATGGTGTTTGTGATCATATTTTCACTAGACTCTCATGCTAGAAACTCCTATGTGAAGATTGCCGTTTCACTTGTCCATCTCTATGATTCTGTTTAGATTCTTATGTTGAAATCTCATATTTAAAATCCTTTAGGCTAATTCTAGGCTATACTTTGCGATGGAACTTTACTTGAAGTAGTTTATTACCCTATGATAGCTACTCATATTAGTTTAACTTTACCTCTGAAAATACAAGCATGAACCTATCTTGTGTATACCCTGTGAATGCCTTATGTGATCTTGTCTATATGCCTTGGTGAAAACTGTTGTTAGTTACAGTTTTAAGAATTAAAGTATGTAGACTTCAAGGTCATTTAATCAACTCCATGTGAAGTTTGTCACTTGTGTGGGTAAAACTTGGCATCATTTGGGTATGTTAGTCATCATTTTGGGCTTGGTGTTGGGCCATACATGTTGTTGGGCTTGAGCATTGAATATAGGCTACTCTAATGCCTTGGTGATCTTGGACTTTGGGTCTACTGTTGCATGAAGAGTAAAACTATTGAAGGCCTGGAATATCCCTGGGTTACTTTGTATTGGGCCTGTAAATGCTTTAGTGGGCTTTTATTTGTTTCAGACTGTAATTCTTCGTCTTTGAGTCCGTATTATTTCATTTTAGGCTTGTAATAACTTGTAAAACAAACAGTTGGGGGATTAGTGGAAATAGGGGAACTTGGAAATTTTATCTCTTGTATGAATGGGTAGAGAACATGCCTATAGGATCTAGATTATTTTGTGTGCAACGCCTCATTCTTTGAAATTACCTGTGTACATGCTCTTCACTTAGAAAACATGACTTAGGGATAATATAATGACTTATAACATTAGAGAGCATGTCTATAAGATCTGAAATCAGACGTGTTGCACTTAGATGTTATGAATATAAGAGTTCAATACAAATAACTGAAAATGCATGCTTCAGATTACTTCTTTCAATTATGTGACTCACCTAGACGCCATAATTGTAGGCTCTCAACTTAAGTAATCAAAGTTGTTATTGCTGCTATTCTCTTCTTATAACACAGCCCGCCTAGAAAGTATGCCTATAGGGATAAATGAACAAATATGCGCTCTCAATGACTTCACCGCCAGATGCACATGGCTTAGAAATCATGTCTATAGTTATTCACTTAGAAAGCATGACTATAGGATCAGTTAATGGAACTATGTATTAAAAACAGCTACTTCGTCCAAGCTGATCTCCTAGAAATCCTGCCTATAGGACCTTGTGTTAACTGCTGAATTGTTTAATCACATAGAAACCATGCCTATAAGATTTGAACTACTTAGCACGTTACAATTCTAAGTCTACCAATTATGGTTCCCGTCTACCAAATTTTGAACTCAGTCATAACTATTCGCTTAATTGAGTGCATCTGAGTCTACATGAGGAGGTGAATTTGAGCCTTTTTTGTCTTGTCTATGTGAAGTCCTATTTGTTTTGATTGTGCGTCTAGTTTACTCATTTTTGAGCAGCTTAAGGAAGTCTAGAACTACCAAGATAGTACGTCCAAAAGCCTCCTGGACCATAGGCATGGGCAACCTAAGGAAGTCTAGAACTACCAAGATAGTTGGTCCAAAAGCCTCTTGGACCATAGGCATAGGACGGGTAAAGCACGCATAGGACGCGGTTTAGAATTGAACTAGAACGCTCTTAGGTAAACAACTTTAAGATAGTAATTGGGTAGCAAGAGATGATAGTTTGTGCACGTCTGAAGCGTAAGTAGCTCACGAGAAACAGAACCAGGATAAAAAGTAGGGCGATCCATAATGATGTATGTAAATTGAGTAAAATTAATTAAAATATTGTTCTCTTTACTCGTTCACGTCTCGAAATATCTTGCGATATTTTTATATTATTATTTAATTCATAAGTTTTTATATTATTAATTAGTTTGATATAAAGTATTTATTTATATGTTAGTTTTTAGAATTTTACCACTCAAATTCCGTAGAGTCTTATTTGTACTGACAACTTTTTATCATTTTTATTCATCATAAAAATAATACTAAATATTTAATTTGTTTAACTTATCGAAATAATTTTAAATATTTTAATTAATTATTGTTATATAAAGTATTATTAATTATTTATTTCTTTCGTAACGATTCATATGTTAATTTATTATCTTTTACGATAAAAATCCGGCATGGTCTCTTTTATACTGACAACTAATTATTTTATTCGTCAGTTAAAAAATATTAAATATTTAATTTATTTAACTTATCGTATTTTAATTGATTCTTATCAAATAATAATTTTACTATAATTCTTAATTTATTAGCATATGATTCATAATTGATTACTCTAACCGACTACGTTAATGGTGGTATGTATTTATTGTTCTACGGTAAAGGAAAGTAAAGAACACTAAAGGCACATATTTATTATTCTACAATTGTAAAATACTCAACAACTAATATAAAATATAATGTTTTTATTGTTCTACACTAAAGGACACTAAAGGCACATATTTATTGTTCTACAATTATAAAAATATTCAGCAACTAACATAAAATACTCAACAACTTTAAAACAATGGCATATTAAATAATTTTCAAAATAAATTGATACAAATAACATAAATTCGGCTAAAAAAAAGTAATAACACGCACAAAATCATGAAATAGATTTCTACGAACTAATTACACAAATANACACATATATTACATACGCTATATCTTAATGGGATAACTGACCGTTAAGATATAGTGTATTTAAAACATGCGTTATACATAGAATTGTACTCAAAATATTTTTCCGCCTATTTCAATCCGTTGAGTTAAAAAGGGCAACCTTTTGATTCCGTACAGAGCTGAAATACCTATGCTTTTCTAATGGAATGAGGAAAGCCCTTTCCAAAACATGAAAAGTGGAGCCCAATACATGCTTACATATTGGTCAAAGAAAAGCATCCTCTGGTAGGAATAAGTAAACTTCTATATCAATAACCATTTTGGCTTAGTGATAAGACATATTGGTTATTGATATAGGTGGTTGCTTAGCTTGTTCCCAACCCCAAAGGCTGCTTTTGTTTATTAAAAATAATAAAATTTCCTTAGACGACTGAAATGTAATCACATGGTATGTCTCCTTTTAATTACAAGATTATCCTAAAAACATTTAATAATTAAATCGACGTACGCTAAGATCCAAAATGTAGTGAGGCGTGTTAGGTTCATGTGCGTTGCTACTTTTTCTGTTATGGAGAAAAAGTACGATTAGTAGATTATATTATATGATAGTGGCAGGCTGTTAAGCAACTCTCTTGTCTGTATCTTAGTTTATCCATGACCTCATCTCGCACGTACTCATAAACCACTTTTGAATTATAGGGTTTCATCAAAACAAGCGGTTTTTTCATCCTTGTATTGCTCGCTCTGACCATAAATTTCTAACCAAGCAAGGCCATCTTGTGCAGCGCATCTCAAACAGTAAGCACCGTACCCCTTTGATCATTTTCTCGTAATTATGCAATTTTTCCATTTAACCAATAAACAATTAGCAATTAGTTCAGTTATCTCTCGTAAACAGTTGACATTGAAGCATTCGAAGCCAAATTAGTTTGGTTCGTGAGCAGAAGCTGGAAGCTGTAAAGCTGTACGTAGTAGCAGTGAAGGGTTAAATTATGGCAAGGGGAAAAATCGCGATCAGAAGAATTGACAATCCAGCAAGCAGGCAAGTGACTTTCTCAAAACGGAAAAGCGGATTAATTAAGAAAGCCAAGGAACTAGCCATCCTTTGCGACGCTCAAGTTGGAGTAACCATCTTTTCCAGTACTGGTCGGCTCTATGAATACTCAAGCTCCAGGTTCTTATTCTTTCCTTCTTATTAAACAAATTTCATTCCAAATTAACCATACAAAATATTTGCAGGACTGATCATTTGAATCTTAGTTATAAATAACATGTTCTTTAATTTGAGTGACAGCTGAGACATTATATGCTCAGTTAGAACACAAGTAATTATATACTAAAAATTAGGAGAATTAAATTAATTAATTTAACTCATTATCCACGGAGCTAGGTGAAAATAATACCCGTCGATCTTAATTAAGCAGCTTTCTAATTGGTCCTTCGGCCTGCAGGGTACGTACTAGACGAATTAATATAAACGATGTATGAATTAGGATGAGGGGTTTTTCACTTTTTACCATAGGGTTTACCTTTACTGGAATAGGTTATATTTCTTGAAATTTTGTATCGGGGACATGCCTTGATAAGATAAGATCTGCTAGCTTGCTAGTATGAGAATCAATATGAAAGTGTTGGAAATTTTGGGGAGACTTTATTAGAAGCAGATTAAATCACTCAAATTTTCTTGAAGAGAAGTGAAGGAAAGTGTTTTTACTTATTTTCTCAACTTGGCTTTAATAAAATGACCATTGGTACCTATTTACTTATCAACACGTACTGTACGTTCTAACGTGCACCTTTTTTTCCAAATACATGTATAGAATCATGTATGCATTCTTATATTAATATTCTAATACACGAACAAAGTAAATACAAATACTGGAAAGGAATCGAGGTAGTCATACCTTTTAAATAGCTTGGTGAAGATATACATAACTTGGCCTTATGACGTCACAAACTCGAGCTCAACTTCTTTCTTGAATCTTCCCTAACTCATCTTCTTTTTACATGGAAAATCTGTTACCTATCTACACAAGATTCCTCGTTGTACAGCTACTACATAAGCAGTGTTGAAACCTTTATTTGGCTTCTTGCCATCAATATAATCCTTCAAAAGCAGTTAACTTTTAAATTCTTGATAGCATTAATTACAGAAAATATGTTTCACATTCATTTCAATCTTAAGATTCATCTTTTTCAAATCTTCAAGAATTTCAGGTTTTCCATGGGGTTGGTCCCTCAAGACAATCAGCATTGATACTGTTATTTTGTGATTTGAATTATTTCATTGTATTTTTTATGAAACTCATAATCCCTATAGGTTTAGGAAAACTCGTTGTCCTAATAGATTTGAAAACGGAAAACCTATACAGGGGCGGCGCAATTACAATAGTGGCCTAAAGCCAAAAAATTTATGAGGCCCTTAAACCTTTTTTAATTAGATTTCATATATACTTTATCTGAAATATATTTTTCTTGGTTTTTGGGTCAAAATTCGAAATATCAAGAATATATTTTTCTTGGTTTTTGGGTCAAAATTCGAAATATCAAAAAACAAAATCTGATAATACTTTATTAATTGATAGTAAGGTTAATCCTTTTATATTTTTTTCTTTTTCTCCTTCTTGGATTCATTATCATTTAACTCAAATAAACAAGGACTTGTTCATTTTAAAAACACAGTCTATATTTTTTAATTTATCTTTTTATTGTTTGTTAAAAATTTACCAATAACACATTTGTGGTAATTAATCAAAGTTTCAATTTAATTATTTATTTTTGAGTTTTGAGGTGAACGTGATTCGGTTTTTCTTATTCACATATTTAAATTCTACTTTATTATATAAAAGAGTAATATATACCTATGAAATATACATACAGAAAATAAAAACTATCACATCAAAAGATAATATATAATAATAAAATTTTATTCTATAAACTGATAACTTTGATAAATGATAACAAATTAAGTTAATTTTACTTTGTTTACTTTGATATGCTTGCAAACTTTCAAAAGAATGAAATAGAATTGCAATTCTTGTTATTCAACGTGCTTTAAGTTTTCTGTTTGACAAAATATATAGCTCATATGAAAAGAAGAGAAAAAGCATAATTACAAAGAGAAACTAAGGAAAATATGACCTTAAAAAGGAAAACGAAATGTCATATATACGTATCTCCTTTTAAAACTTGTCCTTTTTGGCCACTTCTTTCCTTCTTATAAACATTTTGTACTTTTTTCACTACCAAATCCAATATTTCTATGAAAAGATTAAGCTAAAACATTAATTATTGGAGTATTTGCTTCGCACTTCAGCCGCTCTTGAACCTATAGTCCTTGTCAAATTGGAAAATCTTTCTTTTATAGGTTTGAGACTATTTGGGATCTATATATAGGGGTTGTAGTTGGGTATTTTATAGATTGTATTGTGCATTTCTTCTCATTCATAGTGAAAAACTCTCATTGCTTCTGCCTTGAGGATTAGGCTTAGCCGAACCTCGTTAAATCCCTGTGTTGATTTTTCTTCTCTATTTCCTTTGTGTGTGATTGTGTGTTAGTTAACTCACGATCTTCCGCAATAATTGGTATCAGAGCAAGGTTCGGGTTTCTACATATAATCTACAGTTAAGATGTCTTCATCATCTTCAACAAAGTACGAAGTAGAGAAATTTGACGGGAGTTCTAGTTTCAGTCTATGGAAGATTAGGATAAAATCGTCCCTGATGTTACAAGGGTTATGGAAGGCAATTGTTGAGGATTTTCCTGAAGAGATGACAAAGACAAAGAAGGCATACCTGAAGGAGAGGGATTTGAGTGCGATTTTTATGAGCGTTACAGATAGCGTTCTTCGGGAAATTGCTGAAGAAAATTCTGCAACAACAACATGGAAGAAGCTAGAAGATATGTATTCTAAGAAATTGCTAACAAACCGCATCTACTTGAAAAAGAGGTTATACAATCTCCGTATGAACGGAGGTACACATGTTAAAACTCACCTTGATGAGTTTAATTAAATTATAATGAACCTGAAGAATGTGGATATCAAAATTGAAAGTAAGGATCAGGCCTTGATTGTGTTATGTTCTTTACCACCGTCTTATGTTACTTTTGCCGATACGCTGCTATATGGAAAAGATAACATTTCACTGGAAGATGTTAGTAATGCACTAAAATCTAAAGAGTTGAAAAACAGCTTTCTAGATAGCAGAATTGAGGGCGAGTCTTGTTATTAGAGGAAGGACACAACAAAAGGACTTTAACAGGAAAAAGTCAACTGCCAGATCAAAGTCTAGAGCAAGGAAGCAAAACTATTATGAGTGGTGGGGGGGA